TCCTCACCTCTTTCAAGGCATCCTCACCTCGAGTATGTTGTCATTTTCACAACACTATATCTGTTCAATGGTGTACAGTCAGGTTTCAAGGCGTCCTCACCTCGAATATTTTCTAATTTTCATAACACTTTATCTCTTCAGTGATGTACAGTCAGGTTTCAAGGCGTCCTCACCTCGAGTATTTTCTAATTTTCACAACACTTTATCTGTTCAGTGATGTACAGTCAGATTTCAAGGCGTCCTCACCTCGAGTAGGTTGTCATTTTCACAACACTTTATCTGTTCAGTGATGTACAGTCAGATTTCCAGGCGTCCTCAGCTTGAGTATGTCGTCGTTTTCACAACACTTTATCTCTACCTCAGTTTCAGATAGATTTTCAAACAATCTGAGATAGAAAAATACTAAAATTTAGATGAGGAAATTTGAGCGCGACTTTCCATGCAAGATCCGAACAAAAGTATCTTAAAAATTAGTTATTATTGGTGACCTCAAGTAACGTTAGTAACTAATGATACATTTAGATTTCTATCTTACTAGTAAATTAAAAATAGTAGTGTAATGCTAGCATTTTTGGTGGTCATTTTTTTCCAGTTTTTGATCTCCGAGTTCATCCTATGCACACGTGATATCCCTCAACATTAATATTATCTGGATATCTACCAGCCTGAGCACATCCAAACCCCTCAACATTAGCCTTATCAAGATATCTACCAGCTTGAGCACACCCAAACCTCTCAAAATAAACCCTATCAGGATATCTACTAGCTAAATCACACCCAAACTCCTCAACATTAACCTTATCATGATATCTACCAGCTTGAGCACACCCAAACCCCTCAACATTAACCCTATCAGGATATCTACCAGTTGATCACACCCAAACCCCTCAACATTAACCCTATCAATATATTTACCAACACTAGCATACTCCAAACCCCTCAAAATTAACATTATCAGGATATTCACCAACCGGAACACACCCAAAACTCCTTATCATTAACCTTATCAGGATATTTACGAACCCGAGCACACCCAATACCCCACAACATTAACCTTATCAGGATATTTACCAACTCGAGCACACCCAAACCCCTCAACATTAACCTTATCAGACATTTACCAACTCGAGTACACTCAAAACCCATCAACATTAACCATATCAGGATATTTACCAACTCGAGCACACCCGAAACCCCTCAACATTAACCATATCAGGATATTCACTCGAGCACACCCAAAACCCCACAACATTAACCATATCAGGATACTTACCAACTCTATCACACGCAAAACCCCTCAACATTAACCTTATCAGACATTTACCAACTCGAGCACACCCAAAACCCCTCAACATTAACCATATCAGACATTTACCAACTCGAGCACACCCAAAACCCCACAACATTAACCATATCAGGATACTTACCAACTCTATCACACGCAAAACCCCTCAACATTAACTTTAACAGGAAATTTAACAACTATATCACACGCAAAACCCCTCAACATTAATCTTATCAGGATATTCACCAACTCGAGCACACATAAAACCCCTTATCAGGATATTTACGAATCCGAGCACACCCAAAACCCTCAGCCTTAACTTTATCAGGATATTCACCAACTCGAGCACTACCAAAACCCGTCAGCCTTAACTTTATCAGGATATCCACCAACTCGAGCACACCCAAAACCCGTCAGCCTTAACTTTATCAGGATATTCACCAACTCGAGCACACCCAAAACCCGTCAGCCTTAACTTTATCAGGATATTCACCAACTCGAGCACACCCAAAACCCGTCAGCCTTAACTTTATCAGGATATTTACCAACTCGAGCACACCCAAAACCCCTCAACATTAACTTTATCAGGATATTCACCAACTCGAGCAAACATAAAACTCCTTATCATTAATCTTATCAGGATATTTACCCACCTGAGCACACCGTACCATCAACACTGTTAAGATATTTACTAACTTGTGAACGCCCGGAACAACTTACAAACACACACATATTTATTTGTGTGTGTGTATGGATATTTAAAGAACAATCTTATTTGACCAACACTGTGAAATCTACTCCTCACTCCCATAACGTGTTCCAAAGCATGAAATCCATATTTAAAAAGAAAAGTAAAATCCTCCTCACAGCTACTCCCCTGTGGAAACTTGTGAATGATATTTTGAGCATGCGCGATACGGGGAATAAGCATGCGAGATGCTTTGTGGGAAGTCCATTTAAGAATACACAGTATTGAAGTTAGGTACAGAGGATATGTGTGGGAAATCACCATTGTTTTCAAGCTCAGGTTTTCGAGCGACTGATTTCGTGGAACTCCGACAGGATAAGGCAAACTTCATTTCTTTTAACATCTCCTTGCAAACAGGTTCCTGTAAAGAGAAGAAATCATTAGAGCATTATAAAAAACGTGGATTTCAACGTTTCACTAGATCACCAGAGCATTATAAAAACGTGGATTCTAACGTTTCACTAGATCACCACAGCATTATAAAAACATGGATTCCAACGTTTCACTAGATCACTACAGCATTATAAAAAAACGTGGATTTCAACGTTTCACTAGATCACTACAGCATTATAAAAACGTGGATTTCAACGTTTCAATAGATCACTACAGCATTATAAAAAACGTGGATTTCAACGTTTCACTAGATCACTACATCATTATAAAAAACGTATATTTCAATGTTTCACTAGACTACTACAGCATTAAAAATAACGTGGATTTCAACGTTTCACTAGATCACTAGTGTATTATCAAAACGTGGATATCAACGTTTCACTACATCACTAGAGCATTATAAAGAACGTGGATTTCAACGCTTCAATAGATCGCTATAGCTTTATAACAAACTTAGATTTCAACGTTTCAATAGATCACTAGAGCATTATAAAAAACGTGGATTTCAACGTTTCACTAGACCACTAGAGCATTAAAAATAACGTGGATTTCAACGTTTCACTAGATCACTAGAACATTATAAAAAACGTGAATTTCAACGTTTCACTAGACCACTACAGCATTATAAATATCGTGGATTTCAACGCTTCACCAGAGCACTACAGCATTATAAATAACGTGGATTTCAACGCTTCACCAGAGAACTACATCATTATAAATAACGTGGATAAAAACGTTTCACCGGAGCACTACAGCATTATAAATAACGTGGATTTCAACGTTTCACTAGATGACTACAGCATTAAAAATAACGTGGATTTCAACGTTTCACTAGATCACTAGAGTATTATCAAAACGTGGATTTCCACGTTTCACTAGATCACTAGAACATTATAAAAAACGTAGATTTCAACGTTTCACTAGATCACTACAGCATTATAAGTAACGTGGATTTCAATGTTTCACTAGATGACTACAGCATTATAAATAACGTGGATTTCAACGTTTCACCAGAGTACTACAGCATTACAAATAAGGTGGATTTCAACGTTTCTCCAGAGTACTACAGCATTATAAATAACGTGGATTTCAACGTTTCTCCAGAGTACTACAGCATTATAAATTTGGTTGATTTCAACATTTCTCCAGAGTACTACAGCATTATAAATAAGGTGGATTTCAACGTTTCTCCAGAGTACTACAGCATTATAAATAACGTGGATTTCAACGTTTCTCCAGAGCACTATACCTTTGTTTCGATTCGAATTTCGTACAAAGCTACTCGAGTTAGTCGTCGCGAATTTAGTAGTAATAGACTAGAGGGAAGGCAGATAGTGAATAATACATTCCGCCAACTTTTGGGTTACTCTTTTACTAACGAATATTGGGATTGACTGTCAAATTATAACGTCCTTACGGCTGAAAGGAAGAGAATATCCGTCGAAGGGGATTCGAACCTCAGATTGCTATTCGAGTTCCCTAATCACCAGGCTATGCCAAATCGACCACTATAGCATTATATAAAACATGAATTTCAATGTTTCGTAAGATCTCCAAGCTATATGAGATAATACATTACATATTAGCAAAATTACTCAATCAGAACAACACGACTATCAGACGATTTTAAAATAACACTTGACAGTCGGATGAATTCCTCACCTTGCGAGATCAAAGTAAGTTGAAATAGTTTTAGTGCTGTTGTATAAGCATTGCCCCACCTATTAGTGGTTCAGCGGTAACTCTGAAGGCTTATATCGCTAAATACCGGGTTTCGATATAGCCCACTGTGTAGTTTTGTGCATAGGCATTAGATTTAGAATAATTTTTACCGACAACAGAGGAAAATCACAAACCAAAATAGAAAATAAATTAAAACACTGTTTTATTTTGTCTGTTTCTCCTATATTTTAAATAGAGGATTTTTGTAAGTGTGGAATCTAGAAAACAAAAAGTATAAGATAAAAATGGTAATTTTATATGAGGAGTGAAATTAGTAACATGAAAATGCAGTTAAATAAAAAAAAAATATTAAGAAATTCAGAGTTTAAAAATTCACAATAATTTATCGTATAAAGTTAATAGCAAAATATACAATTAAACACTCTACATTTTTCGGTGGACCAAATTCCACCATCTTCAGGAGACCAGAAGAAACGCAGCAACCAAAAATAGTCTGATAGCTGCATTGTTCTGATTGGGTAATTTTGGTTATATGTAATGCATTACCTCACACAGCTTGGAGATCTTACGAAACATTGAAATTCATGTTTTATATAATGCTCGGTTTGGCATAGTCTGCTTGTACAAAAATGAAATTTCCTGCGTTTCTTCTGGTCTCCTGAAAATAGTGGCATTTTTTCCATCGACATCTGTAAAGTTTGAATTGCATGGAGTTTCCAATTCCATATTTTGCTTTTAACTTTATAGAATGAATTTTTAAACTCTGAATTTCTTACACATCTTATGGAATCTGTGCACAAGAACTGTCTTAGAATATACCGAAGAAAAAGAAATTACAAAATGTTTCCAAACATATGAAACAAACACTTTTCTAGTGTCACGTAAGAAATCCAATAACCCGAACAATTTTGAAAAGTCCGAAAGCTCGAGTCACTTGGGCATCTTTTATCTTTTTTTGTTGGTTCTGTGTGATTTTGATTATCATGATTCAATCATTTTAGTTTTATGTATTTTGATAAGTTTCTCTGAGTCCACAAACAATAGACAAAGCTAATATTCTAGTGATCATGGACAAACAGGAATATAAGACAAAATTTGACGCCATTCTATCGGACAATAGCAAGTTTAAGAGGATTAGAGCTGACCCGACAAAAACACTAAAAACAGACGTTAATAAGTTGATTGCCACTGTTAACAAACAAGCGAAAGAAAAGGTTCTCCAATCTACCATGGGAGACTATGCGCCTGAATATATCTACGGAACCGTAAAAACTCATAAACAGAACAACCCTCTATGGCCAATCATATCACAAGTTCCTGCCCCTATATACAAGACTGCCAAAGACCTAAACCACATCATCACTCCATATATGCCTGCCCAACACATGCTAACATCTACAGACGACTTCCTCCACTTACTACATGCCACAAATCCACAGGGACTACTCGCCTCCTTTGACGTCGAATCATTATTTACCAATGTACCAGTCCAGGATACGATAGACATAATCTGTGACAACGTTTACAGACACCCGACAATGTCTCCACCCAAAATAACTGAAGAAATAATGCGTGAACTTCTACTCGCCTGTACTACGAAGTCACCTTTTCAACATATCAATGGTTCGCTATACCAGCAAGTCGACGGAGTTGCCATGGGCTCTCCTCTTGGAGTAACTTTCGCCAATTTTTACATGTGTCACATAGAAAACAAAGTGCTACAGAACCACCACCCCGCACTGTACTGCAGATATGTCGACGACTGCTTTATCGTTACCAAGGACACCGATGAATTAATGAGACTCTGACAAAATCTACAGGACAACTCTATGCTTAAATTCACCAACGAAATAGCCACTGACAAAACCATCAATTTTCTGGATGTACATATCGACGCTAACAACAGC